CTCAACACTCAATTCCGCTTGTGTCCGCACCAAGGAAGATTCCGATGTTTCGTTATCTATTAAAGGAGCGCGGATGATATCTGTGGTCAATATTTGTGGGCGTGTCACGTTCACACTGAATGACATTTGTGGTGGCAATAATTCTGGAGGCGCTGGCGTTGTACGGTCTTTTGCTAATTCCGGGTAATTGGCATCGGTATCCGCCTGAGCTGAAGATGACTGTTCTTGTGTGCTAATTTCCGTGAATTTAGTGACTCGTGCAACGCTTTGTGAATCCCTGTCTATCGGTGCTTCAATGTCTTGCTTGTCAGACGCAGGATAGCCGTTCCAAGCATTACAAACCTGATGGACATCCAACGGTGTCAATTTGGAATTCGCATGTTCCATCGTTGGTTTTGTTGTAGCAGGGTGAGTTTTAGTGTCTGTTGGCTCACTGTGTGCACGTTTAAATTCGGCTTTTGTTATAATGGCTTGATCTGACTTTCTACGGGACAGCATGAATTGACCGTCCAGGATCGGTGCCAGGGTTTCTTGTCTTTTAGCTGCGTGTGGACCTGAGATGTCTTCACATGTTGCTGTGCTAATAAGCGTATCTTCTACACTCGGTAGCTGAAAGTGTTGCTTCATGTAAGCAGCTTCACAGTCCATAACAAGAGCGGTTTCTAAAGGAATGTATGGTCCGTGTTCAAATGCCGCTTCTTTCTCACATAATACAGGTCTTTTAATATCGGACGGTTTCTNAAATGCCGCTCTTTCTCACATAATACAGGTCTTTTAATATCGGACGGTTTCTCATCTCGACTGTCTGACATTTCCAGCCGCAGAGATAGCTTATCTAGACCATCTTTTAGCTCACGACTCATTTGTTCATTAGTTTGCTCCAGATATTTGATACGTTGACGCATGTATTCAAGTTCACCAGCCTGTACTTCTGTCCAGCTGCTGGCCGGAAGCTCGTCCGTGCCGACTTGCTTGTCTATATTTGTGTTCCTCACTTCGAGTGTTTGAACATGAGTAGACAAAACGACCGTCTGATGCTCTAGTTCATGTTGAGCCTGTTGGTATTTTGTCTGCAACGAGGTAAATTCAATCCGTAGTAGAGCTATCTCATTTTCCTTTTGTAAGAGTTGTTCTCGGTTCAACGCAAGTTGGCCCTCCAAGCTGGCTCTCATTTCTTCCTGTTGATCCACCTTTTCCGTAAGACTGTTCAGACGCTGCCAGGTGATATCCTGTTCAGCAAGTGCAGAATTTAATCGGCTCCTGGTCTGTTTCAATTCATTCTTGGTTTGATCCCTTTCGGTCACCACTTGGATAAGTGTGGCTTCCAGTTCTTCTTTGGCGACTGAAAGATCGGAAATGCGTCCAGACATAGATTCAATCACACTTCGAGCCTTCTGAAGATCATCACTGAGTCCAGCCTCTCTGCTGGACTTCTCAGAAAACAACTCTTGTAGCTTCTGAAGGCGATATTCTAAGTCGTTTTTCTGCTGTTCGCTATATTGCAACTGCTTTTTGACGGCTTGCAATGTGTGAGAATCTCCAATGAGCTTGTTGACTTGAGCTTCTAGTTCTACTTTAGCCGCAGCCACTAGTTGAAGTTCTTGTCTGTTTTCAGCCAAACATTGCTCGTTATGCCTCAGCTTCAGCATAAGTCTTTGTATGTCTAGCTGTCCAGATTCATCAGAAGAACCGATATCAGATACATGTGGCGAATCGCATTCGGGGCGCACAGTACCAGCGCTTAATTCTGGAAGAGATTTATCATCATTGAATATGGAGCGATGTCCGATTTGACACGGATGGTAAGGACTATTATGAGATAACACTGGCTGCACATATCTGCCAGCGTCCGAACACAACACTCGATTGTGGGCAGACTGTAACATCGGCTCTCTCTCCAGTGTGACCTCCGGTGCAATAGCTTCATTGAAACTGCTGCGCGATGGGGTAATCAATGTCGCCCTCTCATCTGGATAGATTGGTGGAACTTCGTTGAGCCCACAATCGAAAATCGAGGCAACAGAATGTGACGGGAATAATTTCCCATCTGTCTCTCTGTCGGACATGCCGGACTGAAAACCGGAGCGTTTATCTGACTCCCACGGAAAGTGACGGCGGAGATCATCTACCTGTTTGAGTGTTTCCGTGTGTTCCGATACCACACAGTGATAATTTTGCTCCATGGTACTCAGTCGGTATTGAGTAGCATCCAGTTGATTTTGGAGGTGTACGCAGCTCGTAGTACGGTGCTCTAGTTGCGTAGAATACGCACCGAGTGACTCAGTAGCCCAGCGGATATAATAGGAAACCAGCTGTGGTACCGCTTGAAACTCAAGGTTGTCCAGTAGTGTACTGAAGGCAGACGACTCGTTCTTTGGGAGTGACTCCATTAATTCAACTTTTATTCTCATAAGATACGACGTTAAAGCGTCGATTTCATGGTTAGCTGCACTTAGTTGTGCCTGTAAACTGCCTTGGGTACTGCGCAAATGAAGCAATTCTGCATGCAACCCAGACGTCAGTTCCACTGATTCTGTGGAAGGCCTTTCGCGCGGAGACTGTAAATCTCGATATGTAGCGCGATGTGCACATGCGTTTTCGTCACTTACGTTGTCTCCACAAACCGGAATCCGATCAACAGACGAAAACCTACCTGCTGTTGAGGCTTCCAGAAAAGGAAACCGTGAGGCTTCTACGATAACCGGTGGGGAAAGCGGTTGATCGGTATCAATCGCAGCATCCCGCACACTTTTGTGTTTGGTGTTGCTCAGCTTTTTCGCCAGAGATCCGATCTCGTTAGTGAGGAAATTGAGATGATCACGCATCCAGCTCATACAATAGTTCACACGACCAGTCAACTCGCCGTGTATGGCACGTAACTGCCAAATATTCTCACGGATATGCTGCACAGTTTCCACATGGCACAGGTAGGCAGGTTGAGAGACCGACTAGAAATAAAATTAAAAATATAAACCAATCAGGTGGGATAGTGAACATTGAACTTGCATAAGAGCATTCCATAGTGAAATTGTGCAATACACGAACCAAATAATCTGGTGCAAAAACTTTGGAGCAGTCAGATAGATTTGCAACTATGTAGTGAATCAAGCCAACTGGGAAAATGCCTTGGCCTATTCATACTAATATTCAGATAGTGTTTAGTTCAAGGTCATGAACGAATCTATCACCGAATAGCTATTCGAGTGATATATATATATATATATACCAGCGCTGGCAACAAAACAGGTGCTCTCGTTCCGTAAGCCCATGTCAACGAGGCTGATAAGGTCGTAGTATCGTCACCACCCAGTCTGCACCAACTATTACTGACGATGTTGGAAAAAACAGTGAACTACTCAACAGCGTAATTTTCGAAGTTGGTAACGACGATCACATGTAGCGAACTGAGTAACTGAATACTAGTGGCGTTACACTGCTCGAATGCAGGTGGGTCATCAGTCACTCGTATATGAACGGAGGATGATGGATCGAATCAAACTAGGAATTCATGAGATGCGCACTTCTGATGAAATCCAAAAAAGGTAAAATAGTTTGTGGAGTGCCTCTCGACTTCTTGGTAAAGATTGCCTCGCCAGTAGGATTGCACCCCGACTGAAAGCTCAAAATATCCTCAGATCAGTAATGAAGAAAAATAGGCGACAAACCGTAAAATACAATTAGTTTTGCTCTGAGTAGTGAGCTAGATTATGGAACAGCCTAGCACCACTTGTATACAGAATACGTATTTTTGGTTTATCCAAAAGTAGAGGGATCTATCAAATTAACTGGCACGAAAGTCGCAAAAAATAGATCCATTTTGCACCCCAAATGGTTGCACTTCTTTCTTTATTCGTTAGATTTGTTGGCATCCTTCGTACCAATTGGGTAAAAAAGTCCACTAGGTGCACCGTACCCATAAGGTTTAGTGATCAGACGTATCACAAGATGCTTACCGGTAAAATTGATACCTCAATTTTGTTAGACAGACGGAGTGAAACATTCATTCCATCAGTTGAGACTGGCCCAGTCACAGAAAACATGTAGCATTATAATGGCAGCCTACCTTCCGAGGGTGAATCCACAAATGGAATTCCATTTCAGGTGATTTTTTCTTGTTTTCGAAGCCTTAGTTGTATTAGCACTTGCTGAAGTGGGAATTACGTTATACTTGTCTGTATCTCTCTGAATCCCCATCCATCCTAATGACTCCTTTCATCCCCTGACCAACACTGGACTCAAATATATCATGTCCCAATATGTTTCAGATGACCAAGATATGGTTAGGGCAGGACATACTAGAACACCCAGGCATGCACGACGTTCACCGTCCGCTGTTATCGGATGCGCTAACCTACCCATTAGCCGAACAACGTGTGCCCACAAATCTACGGATGGAACTGATTTAACGCTAAAAACCAAGTCGGGAGCAATCACAATCCACTGACTGAGCAACCAAAACACACTAAATCAGCCAAAAACAGTAAGACTGCTTGCTCACACGCCAATCACTGGTGTTATTCCCGGTTCCTCGATTTACAAAGTGTCCGACAGCGCATTTTTGCCTGATGTGAATACGACCAGATTCGCAAACAAACAAAGTAAACCCGTCTGTAGCTTTGATGCAAAGTTGCTCCGGATATACACCAGGGAAGAAATCCGAGTGAACCTATGGAAATTGGCAAATGCTTTTCCAGCTAACCGCCTTGGTGTAGAATAACTAATACTGTTGAGAACCAACTGCGCTGGCGTCTGGTCGATCAACCATTGTTGACCGTCAAATCTGTTTCCGCTAACTTTAACAGGAAGGCAATCATTAAACCAAAGATGAAATTGTTGGCGGATGACAGTTCATGACTTCTAAAACCTTTAGTTGCTTACGTAGCAAACTTCCTGGTGTTTTCGACGAAAGTGAATCTGACCTGGTAGGAGTTAATACACTTCGCTTCTAATAACTTGAGGTATTAGAAGTGCACTGTGCTAGACCACAGTGCACAGGTAAAGAAGCATATAATTCCTAGTCCGGGGATCGCATAGATCTGAAGAAGCCAATTCTGCATGGGACTAGTCGTGCTTCTTTCGCGGCCGTTCACCAACCTGTCAGTGCAAAGTAATGTGCACTTCGGTCAAGGTTGTTGATGAAAGGTTCGAATCATGAGCAGTAAATATTTTCGAAATATAAGGCTGCTGCACCCTTTTGGGCAGGAATACAAACACTAGGGGATGGGTCTAATCCTAAAATGTAACGTGTCTGTAACAAAAACAATATGATCCTGAAAAGTACAGGGAGGGTGCTAGTGGTGAGAATGATCAATTACGACCGTTAGGCAAGCACGTCCAACAAACCTAGCACAAAAATGAGTTTACTTGTGTGCTCTGGAGCAGAGAAAAAGGAAACCTTCACGTGATTAGTTGCATTTACCTTACGTGCTGCATCTGTTAACTCGGTGGAACAAACAGCTGAATGGTTCTCAGTTTGTATCACTTCAGCATTGATTGCTTTAGCCGACGCACAATCAACAACTGTAATGCACGGCGAGGTAAGCGGAGGCTGGAGGTCTCGTGCTTTGGGATTTCTAAGACATCTGTGAAGATTATCAACAAACGACTCCCATTGATATATCACAGACTCGATGCCCATTTGTTGAATTATGGTGGAATCTGCCGCATGGCTCGTCTCCACAACCAGCAAATCTCGTAACCGAGTCACAATTTGAATTAGACGTTCTTCCAATGATTTATAAACGTCAGTGCGCCGTTCGACAGAGTCGGGCACTGGCGTTGGTCGATAAACCACGTTGTCAAACCTTTCATCTGTCTTCACCTGCTCCAGATGGGTATCTCCAGGTTCGGGCGACTCGATAATGGTGGAGGAGATTACCGTTTGGTACTGCAACACAGCTTCTTGCGTCTGTACACCTGCATCCCGCAGTTGAGAAAGATTCGTCTCAACTGACCTTGTTGTATGTACTTTGGAAAGCACACTACACGCTGTTCGTAGCGCCCTGATTTCTAGTTCGATCTGCTCATTTGCTGTCGTCTGCCAAAGTTCCGATTCCTTCAGCGCAAGCAAATTGTCCAGTTGTTGCCGTAAATCTGTTGAACTCGACTGCTTATCTTCGGCCGTCGTGCCATAGCTGAATTCTTCAACCAACACTTCCTGTTGCGTTAAGCCCTGATAATCATCTAATTTCACACCAGCTTCAAGACGGGTAATCGGTTGAACGATGGACACTGCACATTTCGAACGGTCATCCAGACTAGCCGGTGAAACAACCGGTGAAGAAATGTCAGACACATCAGACGACTGTTTAGAATAGGGCGTCGATGGAGGATCACACGAAGCGAAGGCACGTAACGCCGTTGAACATGATACTGGGTCTACGTCCTCGTAAACGGAAAGGTCCACACGAACGGATTCATGTGGGACGAATGGGGTGACTTCCATCTGTGGTGACAGCTGTTTTGCAAGCTGCAACTCCCTACGCAGCTGCTCAACTACGGTTGAGTAGTACACCACTTGCTGATCCGCTTGTCTTACCCGCGCTTCCAGTTCACTCAACACTGATGGTTTTGAGCTTGCGGGCTCGGTTATACCTAGTTCCACAAAATGCAGTGCAGACAAGAAGAGACGCTCGCATTTTTTGCCTTGTTCTATTGAGTCAATTGAGTCCCAGGAGATGATGAGATCCAGTACGGCTGCTCTTAGCTCGGTATACTCAGTAATGAGGATTGTGTTGTCCATTTGCATCATTTTAGTTTGCAAATCTTGTGCGAACTTCAGCACTGCTTCTCTGATGGGTGAAGTCCGCAAAGGTGGAGCTGATGGACTTCGTGGAATTGAGTGCCGCTGGCGCAGCGTTTGAGTAGCATCTCTTAAGCGTGACCTGAGACCACGAAGCTGACTCGTTAAATGCGTTTCTTGAGATTCATAGTCAGCAAAGAGAGAATCGTTTGCCCTCCAAAGCTGATAAAGGTGCTTGGACAATTGCTGGATTAGTTTGTCCCTCTTGCTCAACTCCATACTCAGCCGATCCACCTACAGTTGATTAGAAAAATATAAAGTGAGTTAGAGTGGGACATGAGACACAACTGTCTGAGAATCTGGGAGGCCACCTACCACGTCACTCACAAGCGGGTGGACGAGAAGGGTGGCTAACAGTTTTAGGTATACAATGTGAAGCCCAATGACAATCGAGACACACTACTATACAAAGTGCATGACACCAGAACTAGGGAGGACACTCGTTATCCTACCTTAATTTTACGTAATGTTAAAAAAGGACCTTCTCTGTGGAGTGAGGGTTAATCCACATGAAAATCATAGGATGTCCGCCTACGGCAACCATGCTGGCCAGAAAGCTGGGAATTGTATTGGTAGCGAATCTGGTTGTCACAATAAATGGAACGAAAAATGCAGGGCAACTAATTAATGATGATACCGTTAGTGTGATAAAAATTCAAAAGATATGCGCCACTGGTCCTGACTCTAGGGTATTTCCGAAAGTGTCTTCGGTCACGTAGTTATCCTGTTTAGTTACCCACCAAGGATGTTATGATGAGCCAACAGTAACCGATTATGTAGTCAGTAACTTTTCGCCACGTCAAGCAGTGACCCGCATCCAGCAGGGTTTCTCAACCCGATCCAGGTTAGGGAACAAGACATTAAAGAAGCCAGTAACTTGACATCCTTCGGAAGCGTCCTACTCATCGTAATTGGTGCTGTATCCATATTACAGTCATATGAAAAGAATGCTGTTCTCTGGGGGATACCTTGGTGAACTTCTTCGTTGCCCTCAAACTGCTTCCACAGTAAGTGGGTGATGTGCCGTAAGCTTCGGTGATCAAACACTATCAACCTAGTAATATCTTTTACTCGGAGGGTTAACCTTCACGCCATAGAAAAGCACAACATTCACCCAGGCCTTATTACGATCATCGTTAGGCATTATACACTCGTCTTCTCAGCGGCAAACTGATATCCCGTCGGCGCCACCTATGACTGAGGTCTACAAACGTCGGGCTTGCGTAGTGTGATTGCCTATTTCCTACTGGAGACCGGTGACGCTGACCCCAAACGCCTAGAGCGGGTGTGTTGCCTGGTCAGTCAAGTACCACCACAGCATTTCGTGAGAGAAAACAAAACTGAAAACGACGAGTGGATGTTGTTAGTTTGCTCCTGGCATCCTAGGTCTGATTCAAACATCCGCAAACCAGTGCTACATCGTCTATGTACTCTAGGTCCCGAATCGATTCCCACGGTACTAGCTCACCGCTGCCACTTGTAAAAGTATCGCACATTTCCTTGATAGAGTCGATAGAAAACTCGACGAAAACGGGAATACATGACAAACTTGTCACATCCCACTTGCATTAGACAACCACAGGGATAGTTAGCCGTAGAGTAAATATGTTAGCAGTAAGCGCTTCCAGGATGTCAACAAATTTTAAGGGAACTTCGTCTGAAATTGTTCCGCGGCACATCAACCCAGAGACATTAAACTGATCTGGTTACCGGAAACGCACTGTCACGCCGATGATGATGACTAGTTTCAGGATGATAACGAAGACCATAACGAAGAAAAAAATGAGATCTCAGCCTACAGAACTGTCTCGCTGAAGAGACAGCTTTTGTCGAGATCTTACTATTGCCAGAAAAGCCATACCAGCAACTGACAACCGGCGTACTCAAAAGCTGGATGAGCAAGAGCCTGAAAAAGGATAAAAAACGTTGGTGCATCCCAAGTGTCCCTGAAGTGGAGAACCCAGTCACTGCAGCAACACCTTCACTCTGTTTCAGCTGAGTGGACATATCTGCCAAAAAGAGACAGATGCCACTTAAATGATTTACGAAACGGCAACAGCAATTCATTAGCAGAAGCTTTGTTGTAGCGATGGGCTGAACTCATTAAAGGACACTTCTGCTGGCCTTCTCCAAAATAATTTCTGGAATAATCCAAAGAATATGAATATGACATCGACATCTGCCTCTCATCAAAGATGGTAATCAAGCACGAGATAACATTCCCCTATAGTGACGGGGTAACTTGCACGGACGGCCTACACCTTACACCTTTCAAGGGAGGTGAAGCACTTGTGAACAGTCTGACGACTCTACACGATATTTGGAACGAAACCAGAATACCAGTGAGATGGGGCACATGAAAAGTGAGCTTTATCATCAGAAATGACGCAAGGACGGCATGCGAAAACCATTGTGGCATCACCATGGTGAGCGTAACAAACAAGGTGCTCTCCGGCGTTACTTTGCGCGGCATGGTCGATTGTAGGGAGGGAAATTTCGACCTGGCCGAGAATGCATTTGCCATACCTTTAGGTTGAGACAGGTTCTCGAAAAGTGCCACTCTTTCAAACGTCCAACGATAGTACTCTGCCTCTTCGACTGTTCGCTTTTGGACTTCAAGTTGCACCATAGAAACACATCATATGGGTTCATGAGCTGAACAATTTGATTTGAGAGCGAGGAATTCTCCCTCCAGAATGTCTATTCTTATGAAGTATGATATGATGCGTGGAAAGGTGAGGCATCAAGCCAATGTTCTCCAGGTTTCAGGAAAGTTTGATAGACAATCCGTGGATTTATAGCTAGACAAATTTTCGCACTTCGTCAGGCTAAGTGAGTAAGCTGCTAGGTTAGCCGATTTTTAAAGCAGAGGGAATTTCAGTCAGTAATATTTCTTCCAGCTCATCATCATCATCATCGACAGCATGACATCAGTGTTCAACACCGATGCTTCACTGCCGTACTTCTTCCGACTAGCAAACTAAATTAATGTTGAATGTCAGTTAAAAGGTCCGTTTAGATAGTGTAAGTGCCTGATTCTTTAGTTTTTTTTCATTGTATCCCTCAGTGCCAACAAAGAAGACCAAAGTATGAACGCCTAAAAACAAGTCTCGAAAGTGGAATATTACTTCGGAAAAAGGGATCCTTTGCTCACCTACCCTACAACGGTCGCTTCAGGCCCCCTGAACGGTGATCGTTTACGTAAAAGTTACAAGGTCTACGTGGAGATCTTTCACGACAAGGTGATGCGCTAGTTTGACGCATAGCTGTCAAGTAAACCGTAGGAATTAACCAACGCTTGAACAACACTTGCAATCAGATGCTGAAAGTAAAATGGAAGTGCACAAACACACGTTCCGGGACCAGCACAAAATTTGACGAAAGACTACTCACCTAGTAACCAAGGAACTAGTACCATTTTGTCTCCAGTCTATGAGGAAAGACCTTCCAATTAAATGCGCACCTGGAATACTGAAAGCTTATTAGTGTCTGTCACAGCTGAAATTCCAAAATTATGGTTTGCACGACCAAACAACTGGCAGTTTACTGGTAAACGACCTCAGGCTAGAATCGACAACACTCTGGTTCATCACACAGTCATCTGCCCTCTTTGAAACTTTTCAAATTTAGGCGAACCTGTAACACCAATTAATGTGAATCTATTCAGTAACACTTGTTACCTTAAGAGTGTGTCGATATATTATTTCTATCAGCTGAAAAGAATACCAATATTCGCCCAGAAAACACGACGGTAGTATTTCCGAAACTCGTTAGTCAAGGGGTGTGAGAGTATGACCCAATATAAACGTTACAAGTGACCACTGGAATAATCCCAACCAATCCCAAAATAATGTTACAACGTCGTATTAGTTAACTGTTTTACCTACGGATCAGCAGGATCAGCCTTAGCGCCCAATTTTCTACTATCCTAACTAAGCAAACTGGGCGCGCCTTGTCATCCATGCAGCGTGCGCTTAGACTTCTCATTTACAATTTATACTCAGATTCATGGTCGTCCGCCTTATTATGTGTAGGTTGGCTTTTCTATCAAATGTGATCTTATGACTGAGAGAGAGTCAATATGTTGTTTTTATGCCATCAAAGTTAGAGTCCTACTCGGGCATTTTCAATCGACACCAATTTTTAATAAGTTGTAACACGGGACAATACTTATTCCAGAGTTTTTCGCCCCATTTGTGGATGAGGCATACCGTCTACACTATTATAATGTGTGCTGCTTTCGCAAATCCATAAAATAGGTGAGGGATTTTGAAGCCCATTCACCAGCCTCTAATCTGGCTGGCTTACAAGGAGGCTAGTTTGTTGGCTTTCTCTCTTGTTTCATTTAGGAAATACTACTGGTCCATCTGGCCTGTCTCTTTCAACTTTTTAAGTGCGCAGGTTTCAACGAATTACTCGCCTGTGAAGGACAGTGGAAAATTTCAGGCACGAGGTGCACAGAAGACACACACTGGACTTTTCAAGCAGGTTAGATGTGCGGGACGATAATTTGTGCAGTCGAAAGGTCTTACCGTCCTTGTCTTAGAGCACAGAGTTGACGAAAAGACAAAACTTTCATTGGTGAATGGTCTTTGAATACAAGAACGGAGGGAAAAACCGCTGCCTTTTTTGAAGCCAGTGCTCCCCAATGCCTTGAAGATTCATTCCGCATACCGGCATCCAATCTTCAGGTGCTATTTTGGTCTGCTTGCATTTCCCGGTCCTTCTAAGTGTCCCCAAACAGTATTACAGTCGCTGTAATCGTTGTACCTCTCAAAATCACTGTGCGGTAGATTAAATGGGCACACGGGTCTACAAGGAACTTCCGGGGTTTCCGCATCCAGCAGTGCCAAGTAGGACTATCTATTGTCGCAATCTCTCTCAGGGTTTGTTACTGATATGACAATGGGATCTTCCACACCTGCCTCTGACAACCGGGAGCCTGCCTCCAAAATGCTCCTAACGAGGGCGCAGATGATATGGCTACCGTAGATCTTTTGGAAATACAAATCATTCTAAACAATCTGAATAATTGTATCATGCGACTTGTTTTTCACACGTGCAAGACTATTTAGACATGAGGTGGAGTCAAACCCAGACCTCGGGCTATTGGACTAGTCGATCGGCTTTGCAACTGATTTGCAATAGCACGGAAGCTTTCACTACCCGAAACGCCTACCACGCTGGTGGGATAGCGGTTTATTTCTCAACGTTAGAGTGTTTAAATTTAACGT